TACGTGCCACGTAAGCCCTAAAGCTCAGTAATGGCGAGCCTGGGCTTTAGACCAGCTTGCTAAACACAAATCCCACAGTCCCTCAGCTGCAGAGGACTTGCTGCAAGAGTAATCCTGTGCCCTTCTGGTTCATCGTTACCAGGGGAGTGCAGGACCTCTATGTTTAACTTTTCACCTGACATTTTTCTTTCCACCAGATCAGATTTAAATGAAAAAGAGGTTTTTGTTCCCTCCCACTTTTATATTTTAGAGGTAAAAACTTTTTCCACTTTATGGAGACCTCATAGCAGCCTTCCAGTATCTGAAGGGGGCCTTTAAGGATGCTGGGGAGGGACTCTTAATTAGGGACTATAGTGATAGGACAAGGGGTAACGGGTTAAAACTTAAACAGGGGAAGTTTAGATTGGATATAAGGAAGAAGTTCTTTACTGTAAGGGTGGTGAGGAACTGGAATGGATTGCCCAGGGAAGCTGTGAATACTCCATCCCTGGTGGTGCTCAAGGCCAGGTTGGACAGAGCCTTGGATGGCATTGTTTAGTGTGAGGTGTCCCTGCCCATGGCGGGGGGTTAGAACTGGATGTCCTTAAGGTCCTTTCCAACCCTAACTGTTCTATGATTCTATGATGGAGAACAGAGGAGAAGCAGCAAAGCGATGGCACACGTTGCCTTTGGCACTTGGCTTGAAGGTTTGTTGGGGTATTTTGCAGACTTCTTGGAGTTTGAATCCATCTGGGAGGCAATAGGACCAGCTCACAGGCTGTTAGACCTGGGGCCACGATCCTTCAGCAGATGTATTGCTTTGGGGTTACACCATATGCATGGTGTCTCCCTCTGGCATTACACCATCAGCTCTTATTTGGGCAAAGCCCTTCCTGAATGTCTGCTTCCTGGGAATACTGCTGAGCATATGCATTCCTCACTCCCTAGGATCCTCTGTAGCCCGCAGCACTCTTAATTGATTCAATTAGGATATTATCTTACGAGCTTCCTGTTAATGAAGAAGCTGTCTGTTAGCTCTTGATACAAAGCTGTGCTTGAAAGGCTTCCTCTCCCCGGGTGGCCCTGTTGTCGCCTGTCCTATTAATGAGCAGCTCAGCCATGGGGACCACGTGCTCCCAGGACGTGCACAGACCTTTAGCAATGGCTCTCTCCAAAGAGACTCACTGCCCAGGCATTTCTGGGTTAATAAGAAAACCAGCTAATTGATAAGGTAAATTGGTGGTGGAGGTAAATGTGGATAAACGTGCCCTATCCTGGTGTGCTGTTGTCAGAGCCTGGCTGGGGGCTGGCTATGCTGCTCGGGTATCTGTGCCCTGGTCATTGCAGCCGTATGAGCACCCTCCCTGCTGCAAAGGAATGGGTGAAAAGTCTGGTTACAGCAGCTTCCTGCAGAATTGAAGCACACCAAATACTTCAAACTGCATCTGCTCCAATATTTTATTTATTTTTTTTCAAGATTCTGTCACAAATACTTAGAAATAATCTTGGAAGGGGTGAAACAATAGTGTTATTGTTCTTTTTGCCTTCATTTTTCTTCTCAACCTGGCTTAGTGCATTGCTGAGACTGAGACTTGGCCTCTCTCTGCTCTCCTGTGCTTGGCAGGAAAGGCTGTGCTCCCAAAGGCTGTGTGTCTGTCTGCCCCATCTCCCCCTCTCCCCAGGATTTTGGATGTCTGGGCAAGTCCTCCCCTCTGGGAATGCGATGTGAGCAGTCTTGTTTGGAGCTTGGATGGAAACCCTTGCTGCTGATACAATTTGTAGGATTCTTCACATGCCAGTCACCTCCCTTCCACAATTCCTTGCTGGCTGGGGAGTGTTGTGGCCAGGGAGAAAGGTGCTCTCCCAGGAATCCTGCCCTGACCTGCCTTGGTTTCTGCAGACCATCTTCTGATGCCTATCTGTGTGTCCCTCCCCTAGGGCTTGTGGGGTTGCTGCACTTTTATCCTTCCAGTCCTCTTCCAGAGCTGTGCCTGCTCTCCTTGGCTCCCCTGGGACAGAGCAGTGAAACAACCTGTGCGTAGTCCCCATCCTGCAAAATCAGCAGGAGCAAGATGGGCCAGAAAGGATACAGGGAACCTCAAGGCATAGAACCCTGCCAGCTGGCTTCCTCTGGCTTCCTGGTGGCACCTCTCAGGTCTAGAGCTGACCTTTTCCCATCGCTGTTCTGTGTTTTCTTTTGTGTATGTAGCGCTACAGAAGAGCCATCAGCCCACGACCCATGGGCTGGATTCTGCAGATGTGTGCTCTTGTATCTTGCTAACACAAACTGCCTGCCGTGGTTGCAGTGGCACCGGCGCTGTTTTTGTTGGAGTGGGTTTTTTAGCTGTTCTTCAACCACAGGCTTATTCCTTGTAAAACTGATGAACTAGTATTTGCTGCTGCCTTCTCTGGAGCTGCGTGATGTGGCAGCCAGGCTGGAAGGGTCCATGCGACCGACCTCTCTGCCTTGTTCCTTCTCTACTTTCCCTTTCTGTGTGTGCTGGAGGGGGCTATTTTTTTGCCTCCAGCAAGAGAAGAGATAGCAGCTTGTGAATGCACAGGCATGATGGTACCAACACATGGCAGGCAGCGCAGGGGCTGGTCTGGCTGGGGTGATGCTCCAGCAGGGTGCCTGCAGCGAGAGGGCCCCCACGCCACCTCCTGCTCACTGAGCAGCCACTACAAGAGGCACTTTTGGTGAAGCCAAAGGAAATAGAGAAACGGGCTGAGTTTTGGCTGGGTTTGGTGGGATCACATGGGTAGGAGCAGATCTGGCCAGAGGCACAGCCCAGGCCTGTGCATATGGGAGAAAATACAGCTTGCACCATTCGTGCCTTGTAGGCTCATAGTGCTCCCGGGAGTGAGAGATCCTCAGCTTGCATTCGAAGTTGAGAGGAGGGGAAAGCTTCCAGTGACTCGAGTATTGTGTTGCTTAACAGCAATCAGATGTGCGGCGTTTGCAACTTGTTTTGCTCGCCCTTTCCCAGTCACAAGCTTTCCTGAGCTCTTCCCCACCTCTCCGCTGTAGCACAACACGGGTGTTTTGCAGGGTAATGGGGATGTTGTGTCTTCCCTTATTTTCATAGATTGAGAGAAGAGCAGGAGGGTGTTGCATGCCCAGAAAGGCTGAGGAAGCGGTGCTGCCCTGGGAGCCTGCAGTGCCTTGGGGAGGCGAGTCCTCCCTCATCCCTGCTCTGCTCACTTTGCGGCTGCTGGTAACGTCACCACAGTTATTGCTGAGTCTGGAGTCATTTGCTTTGTTAGGAACTCCCTCAAATTTGTTTTGAGAAGCAGCTGTAAACATGGTGTGTTTGTGCTTAGTGTCATCCTGGGTTTGAGTTATCTTGTTTTCATTTTGGAGAGAATATTTGAGAGCTTCTTTTGGTTTTCCTGTTGTCTTTCGGAGTGTTGGGCAGTTTTTTATTCCATCTCAGAATGTAGGAAAAATTCCTGCTTCCTTCTGCCCCCTGCCCACCAAACCTCAAGAATTTTATCTTAATGCATTTGAAATCCAAGGGAAAAAAAAAACAACACCACAATTATTGGATGTGCAGAGGGCTGCATTGACAAAAAGTGCTTAGCTTTAGTGTTACAGCACTTTAAAGAAGTTCATGCCTAGCAGGAGTCCACAGCCCTAGCTAGGGGCAGAAACCTTTAAAAAGCATGTGAAAAAATAGGTGCCAAATAGCAAGAGCCATGAAAACCAGGGAGCCAAGTGGGACACATCCCCAGGGCGCGTTGGGACCCCGCAGTTTGGCCCTGCATAGGCTCCACATGGTGAAGGGGCTCCCGGTGTTACTTGGTGGAGCAGCAGGCAGGAGGAAGCACGACTTGTGCATCCAGGGGCTCGGTGGTCCCTGTCCTCCTGGGTGAGGGCTGCCTGCAGATGCCTCTCATAGGATCAATGGCTTTGGCTCTCCACTTGCATGACTTCCTCCCTGCATGAAATACTTTAAATATTCATTGGGTTGGAGGAGAACGGTTGGTTGGACCTTGCAGGTGCTCAGGGCACTCCCAGGGCAGGTTGTCTGCAGTGCTTCCATAAGCACTTAATTATTTATGCTGAGTGCAATAGCTCAAATAGGAGAGGGCAAGACCCGTTTAAAATACCCTTAGGACTAGTGAGCTCTTCAAGTGATGGGAGACTGAGCTCAGATCCATACCCCAGAGAAAACAAGGGGGAGTTTGCATCTCCCTCCCCTTCCTTCCAAAGGGAGTATCTGAGTGATTGGATAGATGACTGGTCATGCTTTCTCCTCTTCTGCTCTGTGTAAAGTGCTAAGTCCAATCCAGATGGTGTTTTTGAGCAAGACCAAGTAAAGCAAATGCTGAGGACATTGATCCTGCCAGGGCATTGGTAAAGCACCATAGCAACTGCAAGGAAGTTGTGTGCTTGTGTTGAAGCACCAGTGCAGGCACCCAGTGAAACCAGGAGGTGGTTATCACCTCTTTGCTGACTAAACATACTAAGTGTAGTTGCATGAGTCAGGAAATCATTTGTTTAATGCTGAAGATACCATAAAACATTCATCCCTCAAAGCCTGTGTAGCACAAAGTGCTCCCCAGACCTGATGTCTAACTTCATGGCCTTTTGCAGGCAAACATGAATTGATGCTGTGAGTCCAAGTCAGTTGTAGTCCAGGAACTGTGTCAGTGCTGGGCTATGCTTGAGCTAATAAGCTTAAAATGTGCCTTTTTTGAGGAGCTTCTGAGATCTAGTGACTGAGGTCCATCAGGATGAAACTCAATAGTTTCAGAAGTGCAGGTTACATAAATCACCCATGCTGAGCAAAATTATAGTGATGAACAACATTGACAGTGAGAAATAGTGGAGATGATGCTAAGGTCTTGTGCTTCTGGCACTGCTTTGGGTGTGTTTACCTCGGTACTGTACTTTGGCTAATGGTGCTGTGTACGATGTCTCAGCACACTGCTGGTTAGGAGAACCAGCCTTAGAGTGGCCTTGTGTTGTCTAAGTTATTCACTGACTTTAATCACCTCTCTTGCATTTCCTGTTCTAGATGCAAATGCTGGACAAGTTTCCAATGGAAGGAGGGCAGAAAGACCCCAAGCAAAGGATCATCCCCTTTCTGCCAGGTAGGAGAGTGGGCTCCAGCAAAAACTATGCTAGTTTTGTCATGGCAGGAGCTTTTTCCCAGTGTGTGTGTGAGCATACATGTGTTTTAGCTCTTACCTACTGAACCATCTGAGCAAGTTCTTGACCATGTCCATTAATGCATCTATATTTGTTAGCAATGTGCCCAGCAAGTGTTAAACCCCTCAGTCATTCTCTCTCCCTCCAGAAGTCATTAAAGGAGGACTACAGCTAAGCAACCCTGCTAGCATAGCTAGCCAGGAACAACCTGGTAGCAGCATGCTTGTTTTCAGAAGGAGCCTGGCCAGCACAGCACAGGGCTGAGGATGGTGTGAGGCTCCCCCAGGAAGTGCTCATATGCTGTTTTTCCTGTCCCATGCAACTCAAAGGGCCATCCAGAGAGAGGGGAACAACATTGAATTCCACATGTTAAATCAAGCTGATTGACAGCCTTGGCTTCCTCCCATAATGTTCAGGGCTGGTTGCTCAAAGACAGGATTTCTGTGGCATGACGTGTGCCTTCCCAGCCCAGTGTACAGCTGAGCGTTTGTGTGCTTGAGGAACAGATGCTATGGTCTGTTGCAGACTTTCTGATGTGGGGGATTGCTTGTGGCTGCCCTCTGGTGCTGTTGCTATGGGGAAAAAAAGAACCCTAACATGCCTGGCAAAAATAACCAGCCTGGGGAGGCCCTGGGAATCTTTCATGCACCCATAGCTAATGGCTTTGACCACAGAGTTGTCTTTACTCCCACCCCCAAGTAGCTAATGGGCATATTTAGAAATGTCACGATACCATAATCACTTCCAGTGACTGTCAGGTCCATTTAGTGCAGCCCTTTGTGCTGTGCTCTGCCTCCTGGCTTTTCTAAAGGCAGAAAGGCATTTAGAGGGCTTTACTTTCCTCTGACTGGCATGAAGAAAACCATTTATGTCCCTTTCTGAGCAAGAGGATATTGTTTGGGTTTCCCATAGAGGCATTTCTGATTCAGGCTTGTCCTTGCACAGTAACATTAGCAAAAGCAAAGCACACCTGACTTGAATACCGCAGAAAAGCCCTTGCTGTACAAGTACTCCCGCCAGCAAGAAGTGGGGAGGAGAAATGGAAGCCAAATTGGCAAAGGGCGTAACTTGGAAAAATTGGATGCATGGTTTGGCCCTGCTGCACTTGCAGAAAATCCCCACCAAAATGCTGCTGTTTCTGGAAGGCAGTGATCGGGCTTGGGAAGCCTGGTCGGAGCACTTCTCACAGCACACTCATCAATATTTGTTTCTTCTTCTTGGTGTTGAAATGGTTTCCCTTTGCTAAGAAGCATGTCACTGGGATTTCCATTGGAGGAAAAAAAGGAGTTGAAGTTGCTGGAAAATAAAGCCTGGTTCTTGTGTAAGAAAGCAGCTTTGGGGACTTAGGATGACCATCCTGTGGAGGAGCTTGTGCATTTGTGTGTCCTCTGGTATGCTTAGACTTGCTAGTGTTTATTATGTTCAGCTTCTGTGAGTGCTGCAGTTTGCTCCCAATGCCATTTTGAGCAACGTTCTTAGCATCTGAATTTCATTACCAGTGAGGATTTGGCTCCAGTGCCTTACTGAAAGTACGCTGCTTTCTGGGAAGCCCGTTGTAGAGTAACCTAAGACATTGTGGCCGCTGTGATTCTCAAAAATGTCTCCTGTGACTCTGTGCCCTCTGCAGCTTTGGCTTTTTGAGAAGCACCCTAAGTGTTCCAAACACAGGGTCAGCACCACAACCTGAGAAGGTGCCATTGGGTTTGTCTGTCAGGCTGGTTTCCTGGAACGGGAAGAGTTCTGTGATTACTCCATAGTTACAACATCCAGCCCACAGGAACTCTGTTTGCTTTGTGATGCTTTGTTTTGTTAATGTTTACTTTGAGGATTTGACTTCTTGGAAATTTCTGGAGACTTTGGGTCTTTTAAAGTTGGTCTCTGATGGTATCAGAAGAGGCTCTTGTATGTGTAAGTCTGTCAGCCTGCACGGCTGTTTGACATGGAGTCATAAAGCTGGGTCCTCCAGAGCTGAGCACTTAAGGTTTGGGGCCAGGGGTAGTCCCTTCCCCAGCACTGGCACCATGCTCATCCCATAGCGCATCCTGATGGGATCAGGTTTTGCCTGGCAGAGCATTGCAGTGCTCCTGCACCATGCCTGAAGTGCCTCTGCCACCATATAGGGGAATTTGAAGTGGACTCTTGGCTGCTTCTGCTGGCTCTGAGCTGGGAGGCACAGCCTGCTCAGCTTCATGTGGTGCTGTGGATGGCCCCTCAGAACAGCTCTGATGGCACCCAGCCCATCCATGGCATCCACTGTGGTCCCTGGAGAGGAGTCAGAAACAGCTGGCAAGAGAGAAGAGAGACCTGCCACTGCCTGGCCCTGGGGATGTGGTGCTGGGCAGCTCCATCCTCGCCTGCAGGAGTCCACACTAAGGGTTACGTACTTTTTGGCTGGGAGATGATGGTATGGAGACCCCAGGAAAGAATGAACTAAGAAAACAAATGAGCTCAGTTGGGCCTGCTGTGTAAGGGCTGTGCCAGATCTTTCAGGAAACAGCTTTTATAAGGAGAGTGGAGCCTTCCAAACATCGTACAGCCCGAGTGGCCTGGAGCAGATCCTGGCCAGTCTGCTTCACTGGAAACGTGAGCTCCAGCAAGGAGGGGTTGCCTGAGGCTGAGCTAACTTTGGCTGTAAAATTGCTTTTTAGGAAGCTTTAGCTACAGATAATAGCAAACTCCCAAGAAGGGAGCAGGAGCAATGGGGTTTGGTGAGATCATTTTAAGAAGGAGAATTATGCCTCCTTTCTGCTCCCTTCCCAGCCTGCTAACCTGCTCAGCATGGGCATCAGTGCTGCCCACAGACTTTGGGGCTTTTCTCCCAGAACAGCTATGGGGATGTTCATAGCTCCCCACGAAGGCCCCATAGAGGAGGTAGAGAACAAATCATCCATTTTAATACCTGACTTTCCTCAGTCCCATTGTGTTTTCATCTGAGCTAGAGATGGGGCAAGGGTCCTAATTACTATTTTCTGCACTAGCAAGATGAGCATCTCTGCTGTAGCACTATTGGGTGGACAGTCCCAGGCTCGCTTGCAGTATGGTTGCCTTTTCTGCAGGGTTTCAGCTAAGCTGATGTGCAGACAGTATTACCCCAGGCAGAGTGCTGTGCTGGAGCAGTTGCTCTACTTCTGACCCTTGAGCTATCTTTAAGAAAACTACCTTATGTTTTATCCCATTACATAGAAACAATGGTCTTGGGAGCATTGTGCTCAAATGAGACCATGAGAGCCTAAGGGCTGTCTTGATTGGGGCACTATTTAGTTCAGCTTCATTTCACAGGTGTCTGGGACTCCATGATTATGCTATACCCAGGACAGCCCCAGAGGCACTTTTCTTGTTCCCCTCGCTTTTGCCAGGATACGCTCACAGCACAGGACGTTGCCAAACAGATGCTAAATGCAGGGCTCCTGGAAACACCATCTCCCATGCCTGCTTCCCCATCCTCGGAATAGCCCATGTAGCTGGCTGCTCCAGAGGCTGGGATTAATTATATGTACATTTGGGGCTGCCTTATTTTGAAGTGAGTTTGGAACCCGTGCCAGGGAAAATCTGGATGTGATTTGAAAGGTGCAGAGAAGTGAATTCTTTCCGAGGCCGTGGGGCGTGGGGAGTCCGTCAGGGTAAAGCAAGAGGCACAGCTGGTTTTCCACTCTCGAAATATCTGGCTTGGTTCATGGCTGTGATCGGCAGCGTGATGTGTTTCAGGTTCTCTGCCCCTCCAGATATTGCTGCACATCCAGTAACAGCTTTTGGCTCAAGAGGAGCCTCCGCTATTTTGCTGGTTGAAATCCCTCTGCCTCCGTGTTTTTTTCAGCCCCTTGATCCCCCCTTATAACTTCAGCTCTGTCTGGAGCATTCCTGCAGGAGGGAGTGATTTGCAGAGCTCTGTTTCCCTATATGTTTGTTTGGAGAGATTAATCTTGTTTGGAGAGATTAACCCCTCTTGCGTCCTGCCTGCTCTGTCTCACACTGCTGGAGACCCTTATCCACCCTTTCCCCAAGCTCTCTCCTGACACCTCTCAGTGGAGGCCACACTACAGCTCTTTGCAGCCCCCTCTTCCCCTGGAGCTGCTGCAGCACCCTGTGCTCTTGGTTAGTCAGACAAAGCAAAGCGGCCTTCATTAGTTCCTCCAGTGCTGGGAGAGCAGAGGCTTCCTGGCACTAGAGCAGTTTTCATGGGCAGAGTATCTTCCGTGGAGCTTCTCTAGCTGGTGCTGGCCCTGCTCCATGAGGGATGGAGCTCGTGTCCGCCAGGGACATGAGTTCCATCCTCCTCCTCCTGCCCAGCTGGGTAGGAAGTAACACCAATGTTATTTCTGCTCTTGAAGCTCTGAGGCCAGTGATGTGCAGAGTAAAAGCCAGCAGATTGTCACCCTGTGTCCTAGACGGACTGTGTCAGTGAAAGGAGTGTCACAGTGGGGTTTTGTAGGGGAAAGGAGGGTAGGAATTGTGACAAAAGAAGGTTTTAAGGAGAGATTTGAAGGAAACCATGCCATGGCATGGCAGAGTTTAGAGAAAAACTCTCCCTTAGGGTGAGGCACAACGTGGGACAGTTGGGACAACAGCTATTGTGGCGCAGTGCTGGCTGGCCTGAGGTTCACAGGGACATGCTGGGTGGATTTGCTGCCTATTCATCATGTTGGATGAACTCTGATATGTGGTGGGCCTCTGGCCACCGTGGATAGAAATAAGTAGCAGTGGTGGAGGGAGAGGAGTGTGCTCATGGATAAAGGAAAAAAAGGAGGAGTGGAGCTGCGTTACTGGGAGATAGAGCTTTGTAACCGGGGAGCTTCGCATCCCAGGAGGTTGTGAGCCCTATCCACTGACTGATGGAGGCTTGAAACATCATCAAGGTGCTCCACTGTGGTTTTCCAGGTTTCCCTTCCAGCAGGGTGAAGTGCACTGACAGCTCCCTGCTATCAGGCTAGAGCTCAGGGTAAGG